ACTCCAAGGCCATAGAGGTCGGAATTTCCTTGGAATCCACACTCTTTCTCAGCTTCACGGCGCTGAACTCCTACCGGAGAGGGAATTGGGAGAGTCCCCGCATCATAAGGCTGCGCTATGGTGGAATCTTCCACGAGCGTCCTAACGGCTGAAGGAAGTGCAAGCAAGAACGCCAGAAAGCAAATTCGAAAACGCATTATCTTGGATCGATGAGGAGCTTTGCACTCCTCTTATAATAGATGAGAGCATGATGAAAATCTAGGTCGTGGAAGGCTTCTGCTTGATATGCTGCGCTTGTGCCCACAGGTGCGGCTGAGGTGTTATATACATACAGCTTGGAGTCAGCCCTCTCGTGTCACTACCCAAGCATGTCGGGCCTTTCCACCTTCGTATGTGCTTGCAACGACGGCGTTCTGCCAGTGACACTCAACCCACTCGCCGAAGCGCAGGCTTCCATTTCTAGGGTTGCCCACTCTATCTTATTTCTACCCCTCCTATCTCGTGGTATTCCCCTTCAACGAGCTGAGACTAGCTCTCGGCTGCTGCTTGGTCTAGGAATCGGCTAGGTGGGCTTGATCAGGTCTTTCGTTCGGTCAGCGGAGGGGACAATGGTGGATTTCGGAGCTTGAGGGCGACGTGAATGGCATGTCTCTATGTTACGAAAGTACGTATTGCTGTGCGTTGGACCGCATCTCGAAGTTGCACAATGGCTGTGTCGAGCGGCTGCGACGCTGAGACGCGTTGGCTGACTAAACAAGCGCCGAGCCCTTTGAGTCTTAACACTGCTCCCAATCCTATGTCGGATTTAGTGGTATCCTATCTAGCTATTGCCGATGGCCTCCCTCCTGTGCATCACGGTCATTGGGGTTTGGCAACTGCGACGAGGGGGTTCATACATGATGTTGGGGTAGCGATAGCCAATCTCAACCGCCAGAGAATATTGCGCAAGCCAGCCACCTAAGAGAAAACTTCAGCCTCAGCCTGGTCGACCGTACAGATCTATATATGAAGACTGCCAGCTCTCTCCAGCTCAGGTTGTCTATGTCTGCAATGCGCCCTTCTCCTCCCCGCACACTCGCTCTTAGGGTCACATATCTTGAACCCGCAGACAGTTAGTTAATGTCGTTAGCATGCCTACCAACCCCGCAGATACATCTCCCCCGCACCCCTCGGGCTCTTCGACCTCCGACGACTGTCCAGACCCTACACAGAGTCGACAAATTGGCGCAGACAACACCGACGTGACCTTGGATGCGGCTGATTCGATAGAAGAAGAACAACCGACTGCAGATTCCGCTCGATCGACTACAAAAAGTGGCAATCCACAAGATCAGACACAGTCAACGTCAGTACTTGTTAACCAATTAAACCAAAATAAAGTGAAATGCGCTAATATCTTCATTGATATACGCAGTCCTTATTCTCATCTCCGTACAACAGAAGAGCTAAAACAGGCCTATCTCCAAAGGTGGGAACGTTGGATATCGATTTGGAAGCCGGACGAGACCAATAATTTGACCCCAGAAGTGTTTCTCTTGAAAAGATTCTTCGAGACATATCAACAGTGTGCAGAGAATTCATGCGGCGCATCATTCAGAAGAATTACGAAGATAAAGGAGGAGCGTGCGACCCGTGGGCCGAAATTGACCCACGATGATTTGAGGACGCTTCTAGAAGATGACACTGAGCTCACAATATTGATTGCGGAGAAAATATGCCCTCACGCGATTTGCAGACTTGGGCTTATTTTCGACATCGATCCCGAGTTTTGGGCAGACTACCTCGGTGGTACAGAGAGATCGAAGAGAGAATCCGTCGATGCTTGGTTGCAGCACTTGCCTTCTATGCGCTCGGCCTCTGAGGGCTCAGGACGCAGCTTCCGAGGGGAAGGGACCCATTTCCAAAGTATCGTAGCTCGAGAAGTATCCTTTAAAAACCAATCGCGGGATATTGATTGGAAGCAGATTGGCCTATCAGACGGCAATGCACATTCTGGAGCATGGCGCACATCGGAATCGATAGCGTCACGGAAAACCACAATCCTACCCCCAAGGCAACGGCAAGACGATGATCAAAAATGGCCAGCTGTTGCATTTTTCTATCAATCTGTGTCAATATTTTGGTATTCTTCTAAAGGAAAGAGCCTTGGTACCGTTCCCCTACTTGTATCGAGGAGAATCTAAAAAGTAACTCGACCTTTAGGCATCATTGCAGTGGATCCTGTTGAAAGGCTTCCAAACGCCCTGACGTTGGCCCGTCCAGATGCAACATTATCCCCTAACATCTACTTGGACTTGTCGGCATACAATTATACAACACACTGGAGAGCTAGAGGCCACCCTACAGCGCAATCTTTTTCCGACCGCATTATCTCTGAAATATGGTGGAAATTACCGGAGTTCAAACAAGAAGCGTTTCGTGAGGATACTCTGAAAGCAGTCCGATCAGTTCTGTTGAACCAATGGACATTAGTGCATGGCTATATCTCTCGAGACTTGCACTCGATCCAAAACAAATTAGAAGGAGTCATACCGGATTTCAAACTACTCCAAACCCTCTTGAAGGACCTTTTCCTCCACCGACAACACTGCATCGAGTATACTAGAATGATCGAGAAAACGCCCGGAGTTTCGGAACAGGACTTGGAGCATTTCCAGAAAGTCTTCAAGGAAACGCTTGACACCATAGAGCGGCAAGTCAACCTTCTCACAACGCTAGTCAGCATCAACGAAACCCAGCAAAGTATCGAAGAGAGCCACGGCGTGGGCCGACTCACCCGAATCGCCACTATTTATCTACCCTTCTCCACTGTGGCTACCGTGTTAGCTATGCCGGGCAGCTTTGCACCCGGAGCTAGCATGTTTTGGGTCTACTGGGTGGCATCTACAGTTCTGGCGATTCTCATTATTGCTTTGCTTCCATTCTACGAATGGGCGAAATCATTCGTTACCGACAAAAGATGGGGCATCTCTGGCCGTTACAGAAAACGACGTTCCCAAGGGAAAGAAGGTGGGCCAAATAATATGGCCCGAGAAAAGAAGAAAGAGCAAGCAAGAGGAGGCGACGGCTTTCTTAGACGCGTGCGATTAAGGAAAAAGCAAAAGAGCAGCGCTGATATTGAAGCAGAACCCATCACTAGCTCCTAACACAATGATGAAGCGGCGGTGGATTCCTAAGCCATCAGAACATTTTTGCAGCTCCAGTGATTAGCATGTTTCAACAGCCCGAGGCGGGACGCTTGGATGCTAGCTTCTTCTGAACGAGGGTTGATTACTTATCTTCTTCTGTTGTTTGGGCTGATTTTTAGGCGTTCCTTTTAAGAGAGCCTTCGACAGGTAGAGGGCGCATTTGGATTATTCAATACTGTATTCCCTAGCTTAGTGTTTTCTACAACGCGGCGCGATTTTAGATTAAAACGACGTTCCCACAAACAGCACCAGCTGCCCCTTCACTCCTTTCGTGCGCCTAGCATATCATTAGTCTGTGGAAGTCGACCTGAAACGCACCCAGTAAGCAACGCAGCCAAAACTGAAGGGAGGAAATGTTAAAAATGCAAATGCCAAGTACTACTGCTTGAGTCTCGTACCTGCCAGGTCCACTTGCGCGTCTTTGAGCAGGAAACTATCCACGCATTAGCAAAACTCCATCCAAACCATCTCCTTTCCAGTAGATGGGAAGAACGGATCAAAACTCACTTGTACCACCAAACCGTCGGCCCCACAGTCCCCAAATGCCAAAGACTATGTGCATCCAGCATCCCCCACCACGGCGCAAAATCCAGCAACTCAAAGCTCATAGCCAGCAGAATCCACCCCACAATAAAACCAGGCCACATAGCCCACACCCTCCCCAACTTCCTATACTGCACAAACGAAAAGCCACTCCACAGCAGATTCTGCACGCACCCGACCGCCACATTCGCCGCCATGTTGTACGTGTAGTCCCAGCGCCACAAGCTCAAATACGCCACATGCAGCGTATAGAGCAGTATACATGTCGCCGTCCACAGCCTCAGCACAGACTGCTTCCTCGGCACCTTTTTATCCAGCCGGAAGACGCGCACGACGGTGAAGTACATGCCGTACAGCACACTCGCGCCCGCGGCGAAATAATCTAGCTTCTCCGTCACCACGAAGTCCCGCGTATGAAACACGATGCTGAACGCCCAGCTCGCGAGCCCAAAGTATCCGAATAACATGTAGTATTTCCGCAGCGGGTATGAGGCGGGTATGTTTTCGCGCAGCTGCGTCATACCCCAGTCGTGCGCGAGGTAGTTGAACAGCGAGAAGATGACGGAGAAGGGCTCTTGCATCCCCATGTAGCGGTAGAAGGGCCATTTACCGTGGAATTGGTAGATCGGGTGGAGGTACGGGGGGTCGCGCGCGAGACGCTTCTCGGTTACGATGTGTTGGCATGTGTAGTCGCATTCGGCGGGGCAGTCCCAGAGGAGGAGCCGACGGTGGAAGGCTGAGGTTGTGAGTCTGGGGTTCGTTTAGACGGGGGGAGAAGGCGTACGTATGGGAGTGGGATTATTGCCGCAATTGGCTTCTTTGCAGACCTGGGGGATGTCAGGAGCGAGCTTCGAGGGTTCGAGGGTGGAGGGACTTACTGCTAGACAGTCCTTGAATTCCGGCAGTCTGTCACCGAGTGAAGCGTCTGCTACTCCGGCCAGCAGGAAGAGTGCGGAGACGAATTGCCCCGCTCGAGCTCCGCGTATCCTCATCGTGCCGGTGTCGCGTGGGGATATTTTCCCATGCAATTGTCGGTCGGGTTGGGAAAGGTGTCGCGCGCCCGCTCTCGCACACAAAAAGAAGGGTTTCCGGCTTAGTCACCTCCAATTTCAAGGCAAAAAATCCATGTGACGCTCTAATTTTTTGCTGCCTCTATCAAACTCAGCACGCAGATTGCGAATTTGACGTCTGATTCTACAGAACTAGAGGAAACCGAAAGTTACAGCTTTAGGAAATGCCAAAAACAAAAAAGGAAAGATACACCGCTAATGGACGACTAGGGGATCGAACCCTAGACCTTCCGCAATACTTAGATGTCCTAAAGAACGCCTATTGCAAAGCGGACGCGCTACCACTGCGCCAGACGCCCGTTGAGTTATCTGTGCAAATTTTAGACCAAAAATAATATATTTAACAAGAAAGCTGTCGGCAACCTCGACATGGCGGGATACGAGCTAAGGTGCTATGCAAGATCTGACTAGCTCTCCGTTATGTAACTAGTGCCAAACCATCCTCCTTCGCTTCTAACTTACTCAGCCCTCAACACTCAGACCTCACCATGCTACATATTAGATTAGCGATGTGTTCACTAAACGTACAATAGTTCCACAACTGATTTCTTTCTGCAGCTAGTTCAGGTCTCACTCTTCGTTCCTGTGCGGCCTTATTCTCGTCTTGTCAAACAATCTCGTGAACAGAGGTAGAAGGGTCGTGCAACGAAACTCAGGGTTAGGTGTTTTTGCCGCTCTTGCGGTTATGATAAGTCAAGGTTCAGCATCACCGCAGTCACGTTCGATGCAGACGTTGCGGTCTTCCTTAGTCCGCCACAGTACTCTTCAAACATCCATAAACGAACTCAACTCATTGGCTGAATCCACTCTACGTTCTCCTTGACCTCAGAGGCGGCTCGGAAATCCTCCCGATTCTTATTTTGACCACAAAGCATTAACGTGCCGACGTCATCTTCGCAGTCGTCGTTGCACCGGCCCGATGCCTCTCTTACGCTATGTGCGCTGCAGATGCTCTGCTGGTGCCTAGCTTTCCCCTGGGAAATTTTTCTTCCAATTCTTAGTACTGTAGTCCTCTGCGTGGTCTACGCTCCCCAGCATTCGCATCTAAATCGTGCTGTTAGTGCGCCTGGATGCGATGTTTGGGGTGCCAGGATTTTGAACGATACCGTTGAGGGACTTATGTGGGTACTAGACTCTCGTGGAGTAGAGAAAGTCGGCACTAAGGTAGAAATTCAAAGGTAGCATTTTTAGATCGATGATTTGTATAGCTCTGCTAGAAGTTTGACAGGAACCTTAACATAGGATTACTTTCTGCCGGCCTCTACAGCCCCGCGAGAGCTAGACTACCGTCAGTACGGTCGCAACAAGGGTACGTAGTGCACTACATGGGGATCCAGCTTCGTCTGAAAACCGCCCAAACGTTGATGATGTGTGTCGGAGAACTTTCGGAAGAGCAACAGAGGGCATAATTCGGATCATGAAAGAAGTGGGCCAGAGGCAAAATAATTGCAGGTATTCGTTGCCGACGATGACCCTTCAACAAAAACATGTTCGATCGCAAGTTCCTGACCCGGCACCGTCACTACCGTGTAGCATCTCGAACCCTGTCGATCGACTCGCAAACACAAATTGAGGCGCACAAGCCGCAACACAGTCCTTCAGAAGGAAACGGTGTTGTGATCTAGAATAAGGTTACACTGGCAGTTTCAGTTCATGGAAGAGTTGAATATACAGATTTTATGGTAGGTCATATTTACTAACCATATTTTCCTTAAATACAACAAACCTTCTATTACCTTTCATCATCATGTACAAGCATGAGGTATGTCGACTACCAATCCTACGCTCAAATACCAAGCAGCAACGCTTCCATCGGGTACATCACTGACCATCCTCCAGACCCAACTCTCATCTATGACAGCCGCCTGGCTCCTCCCCATCGTCGCAACCAACGTCGCCGCCGCAAGCGGTGCCCTTGTAGCATCCGTCCTCTCAGACCCCAAACACGCTCTCTTAGCCATCATCGTCAGCTACGTGCTCTGGGGTTGTGGCGTTCCTCTAGCCATGTTCACTCTAGCAATTTACTTCCAACGACTGACTTTATACTCGCTTCCCCCCACGAGAATTCATTGTATCGGTCTTTTTACCCCTCGGCCCGATCGGTACAGGCGCTTTTGGAATCATGGTTCTCGGTCGCGAGGCACTTGCTCTCTTCCCAGATACCCACACCATTCCTGTCCCTTCCAGAAACTCCACCACTCCAATGCCCTTACAACCCGCGCTAAGTGGTCAGATCTTTTACACGAACGGCTTATTCATCGGCCTTGTGATGTGGGGATTTGGTATCGTCTGGCTTTTCTTCGCCGTCGCAGCGATCACTCGTTCGAGATTCCCGTTTAATCTGGGATGGTGGGGTTTCACGTTCCCGCTTGGAGTTTATGCTCTGGCAACAGTGCAGATTTCTATTGAACTGCCGTCGCTGTTCTTCAAGGTTCTGGGGACGGTGTTTTCGATTGCGGTGGTGCTGCTTTGGGTCGTGGTCAGTGTGGGGACTGTGAGGAAGATGGTTAGTGGGGAGCTTTTTGTTGCGCCGCATATTGGGGAGTGGGAGAGGAGTAAGACGGAGGAAGAAAGGGCGGATGGGGAAGTGTAGACTTAGACCAATAAGCTGAGCACAGTGAATGCTGCAGACATTAGCATATCCAGAAGCACTCGCCGCAAAGCCCTTGTTCAAGTATCCACCTCGTCAACTGGGAACTTGGCCTAGCTCTTGTATGGAAACGATCTACATGTGGCACAACTGCCCATGCTCGCCCCACAACCTTCGCCGAAGCGATTTATCGGTGAACCTGACCTCTCGCGGAGCAGTGAAAGTGGGATGTAGCGCACCCACGCAGCCCTCACTCTCGTAGAAAGGTAATGGTCTAATGACCGCAGGAAATAACAATATAGTACACGCGCTTATTCATTAAGCAAAGTACTAGATACTGTATCCCCCTTGGATAAGTTTTCAATGTGGAATCTGACGTGTAGTTGCGTGCATATATTGGGAATGTGAATCCCTGGTGGCATGCACTACGGTTCAAGTTCAAGGCAGGGGTTCTCTTGACAAGTTGTCAAACTGTTCGAGGACTTGTGCAATGCATGTAGTCTGGAATATGCCTTCTTGATTTCCGTTATCAGCGAGGACTAGATTGCGTTATTTCCACGGACTTGCAGCGGCGTAGCGTACAGAGAACCGAGGAGGCAGAGATAGCTGTGCGCTTGTTATCACCTGAGAGTAAGCGTTACTGCAGGATTGCGGCAAATTTGCTCCAACACCTGAGTGGGCTGCATCATGCGGCGTAGTTGGTACGTGTAGTTAAATCAAAAGGGATTTGCCGCCCATCTTCTTTCTGTCTGTCTGCTTCATACACACCCTACCTACTTGATATGATGGCTTATCAAACCCAAATAATTTTAGCACTTCTCGTCGCTTTTTTGGCCACGTTACCTTTTCAACCTTTCAATTTACTGCCGTTCAGAGGTCGCCTCCAACCCAAATGTCGTTGTTTGCCCGGAGACGACTGCTGGCCCAGCGATGAATCCTGGAAAACTTTCAACAAAACCCTGGGCGGCAAACTCATCAAGACTGTACCGATTGGAGCCATCTGCCACACCAACCAGTCCTTCGTTCCCTACGATGCTGCAAAATGTGCCGAGCTACAAGCACATTGGACCGAGGCCGACACACATGTTTCCTCGCCGTCGTCCATCACCGCCCCCTTCTTCGCGAATCAGAGTTGCGATCCATTTGTGCCCCCTTCTTCGCCCTGCTCCATCGGGACTTATGTCCAGTATACCGTCAATGCTACCGGGGCGTCTGATTACCAAGCGACGATTAAATTTGCGAAATCGAATAACATTCGTCTCACGATTCGAAACTCGGCCCATGATTACCTTGCGAAAGTGACCGGTGCTGGCGCAATCGCGCTTTGGACGCGTCATGTGAGAGACATCAAAGTATTCGACTACAAATCAGATCAGTACAACGGAAAAGCGGTAAAAGTAGGCGCGGGGGCCTCTACCTCCGAAATCTCACAGGCCCTTCAAAGCCAGCGTCTTGTGGCCGTGGTCGGAAACGCACCTACGGTTGGTGTTGCGGGAGGGTACACCCAAGGGGGAGGGCATGGAATGATTGCATCACGGTATGGAATGGCTGCAGACCAAACTCTTGAGTGGGAGATCGTTACTGCTGACGGGAAGCTTCTCACCGCGTCACCCTCAGAGAACAAAGACCTATATTGGGCTCTCGGGGGTGGTGGCGGCAGTACATACGGCGTAGTTCTCTCTATGACCGTCAAGGCCCATCCAGACGAACCAACTACGGCCGCCTATTTGCAATTTGGCAGCGAGGGAATATCAGCAGACTTATTTTACGAAACGGTTGCTACGTACCTGAGAAACACGCTAGATATCGTGGACGCTGGTGCGGGAAGCATATTCCAGCTCACATCCGCCTTTTTCGTTGTTGCACCAATTTTCGGGATGGGGAAAACCAAGGACGAAATAGATGAGCTTGTTCAGCCGACCATAAATGCATTGAAGGAGGGCGAAATACCTTTCAGTACGTAATTTTCTACTTTCTTTCAGCTTGAAAAACCCCTCATTCAGTACGCCGAATACGAGTCCAGCCAATACAACAGCTTCCACGACGCCTACGCCGCGAGTATTGTCGATACCCCTGTCGCACTTGCCCAAATTGGCGGACGACTACCTCCACGTTCAAACATCGAGTTCTCGACAACTTCGTTTACAGCAGCCCTACGAACAATCAACGAAAAGGGCGGAATAGTATCCGGTCTTTCCGTCAACGTGAGCAAGATGCCGGCTATCCCCAACTCAGTGTCCCCCGGATGGCGTAGTTCCCCTATGAACTTGGTTGTCGGCCTGTAAGTCAGGTGAGCCTTCATAGATGGCGAATGCTGATGTAGAACTGCAGGCTTTGGGATGATACGGACTGGAACGCCAATATTGAAAGCCAGCGACTTATCACTGAGGAGTTCATTCCTGCGCTAGACCGCGTGAGTGAGCAACCACCCTCGGCCTACATGAACGAAGCCGATCCTCGGGAACCTAATTGGCAATCGGTTTTCTACGGTTCTAACTATGAGGAGCTGCTGCGGATCAAGAAAAACTATGACCCGTATGATCTTTTCTGGGCACGGACTGCAGTTGGGAGCGAGTCTTGGGTAGAGGGTTCAGATGGAAGGCTTTGTCGAGCTTGAAAGTATAGGTTTGTAAATTCGTCATACAAATAATAGCCCTCGTTGCCGATATGCATACTGTCGGATATACATTACCGAACTGTTCTGCACGG